TAATGGTTTAGGTAATTTATTCGTACAAAATAAGTAAAAGAGCGTTTTAATGAGATAATATTTTCTTTATAATATTTTTATCCTATTTTGCTGATTTCAGCCACTTAGTCATCTTCTGATCACTTTTTCTTCTGTCTTCTTTGATTGTTCTGTTTAAATGCCGAATTCGGATGATTGTTCTTAGTTTTGAAAAGAGCCTAATAGATTGTGGACATACACTGGGGAATTTTCGTTTTAAAATGTTTTCAAAACGTTTGACAACATTAATTTGTCTATCAAGGGAGTCACCGTGAAGAATGTGAAATTCTCTGTCAAACATTTTAATAAGTAGTTTCCACTTGTCAGATGGCGTTGTTAGTCCTGGAAAATGTTTACTTTAGTCATTTAACAGCTATAACTATACAAATATCATCTAATCATTTAAATATTTTACAGAGTGGTTACAAAATTCAGTTTAATTTCATGTTCTGATCATTCTGTATGTATAGGTGATAAGTAGGCCTACGATAAATATCATTATTGTTTTAACTTATTATATTACTTACTTTTTTAACATTATAATGTTGTTAGTAACATTTATTATGATTATAAGTCAAATTATTGTAAAAAGGTCATCAAGCTATAATTTCTATTTTATGCACAATGAGTTAAAAACGGAAGGGATATACAGACTATCGTCAACATGTTTAATTACATGTAAAATTTAAAAAGGATTTCGAGCATACTATTTTGCCATCCAGACAGTTAAAGATACGATTTTACGTTAACAACTACCTATCATATAAAAAAATTAATTCGGCAAGCTGATTACCTTAAATACTTTTAAATACTTTTGCAGCGCATGTGGCATTTGTTTCCAAGAAACGTTTTCACATTTTGAAACGTCATATCTTTTGTCTTACGGAATATTTACAAAAAAAGTTTAAACAACTTAAAAATGCCATTTACCTCCTCGTGATATAGTTGATATCCAGCTAGTGCTTTCCTCCTCAAAGGATTTTGTCAGTATCCCAAGGCTTGGATCTACATTTCTGACTTTAAAAGCGATGAAACCAGCAATATACTTAATTGCTTCCTCTTCGGCCCAATGTTGCTCGGGGACCTCATTCACAAGCTGCTCTTCTTCAGTACAGGTAGTGAGGATTTCGGTGTCAAGGTTACCAGGAATGTCAATACTGAGAGGCTGATTTAAATCATTATGCTCAGGTTCTGTTGGATCCTCGTTGTTTTCTTTGTGATTAAATATAGAATCTAATAGATTGGCTGTTAAATATGTGTTCACTGACACTTCCTCACTTTCTTCTTGGGTATTTGATTTTGGAGATGGCTTTGGAAGTTTGTTAGAGAGCAACAGATGTCTTATCCTGTAAATGATTTCTGTTGGAGACGGGTGGTCATTGAATCTCCCTATACCTCGTAACTGACCAAATAGGTTTTCAAGAACATCTTGAGTCAGCCTTGCTGTTAGTATGTATTTTAGCCCAATCTTTTTAAGGTCTTCAAACATCATATTTAGCGATGCTATTGACATTAAAATACCTTTTTGAAAAGGCAACAATGTATTTTTTCCCACAACTCTCATTGAAGAAACAACGTTTTGTACTTCTTCCAAAATATGTTGTTGTTCTTTGAGTATTTGGTCATCTATTCCAAAAGCGCAATTATAACGTTTGCTAACATAGGGGCACTTGCTATTCATGATGTCAAAAAAATTGTCCATCAGTTCAAAAAAGTCAGCAGCTTTCTTATTGTCTAATAACACCAGTATGGCTTTGGCAACCGTATTAGAAAATATGGCTTTTGCAGGTCCGACCTTCTGTCTCGCATTTCCAGTTAACGTTAGAAACTCTGGTTTCAGTTTATGGCATAGTCTTACTTCACCATTGTCTTTTTGTATCAAGTCTACCAATATGTCACCGGTCAATTTCGTGCCGTCTTTGAGCAATAAACCACTATCTAAAAAGTGATTTCTCAAAAGTTTCAAATAGTGTGGTAAATCTGCAAATACATAAATATTTCTTTCATCACAATAGGGGTTGGAAAAAAAGTGTTTTTCACCTTTAATACCCAGTCCCTTGTACAATGTATTGCAACCTCCTAAATCAGACACAATTGCTACTACTCTTATTTGACAACGCTCAAGATGGTTGATTATATCAAACAAAATATCTTTTGTCATAGTTGTATCAAATGCATAGTAAACAGGTTGTTTCCAGGGAGACATCAAACCTCTGGCCAAAACCACTTGTACTCTAGAAAATGGGCCTAAAGCTTGGTCGAGACCAGTATGATAGCTTATTTTACTGTCAAGGTGCATCTCGTCAAAACTCAAAACACAAGTCCTCTCGAGGTCACTCATGGTTTCTGCACTTTTTGCAATTAATTCCAAAACATTCGTTAAGATGCCAGGATAACACTGAAACTTTGCACACCACCTTTTAAGAGTAGCTGGGGAGGGAAGAGGGAAATGCATTTTGAGCCTGAGGAATTCATAGGATTTCTGGTTTAGCGCTCTTAATATTATAGCCCTTGAAATATCATCTGATTCCCACTGTTTAGTCTTTTTGTTGTTCAAGATGGCTTTTATTTGATTTTGGGTAAGTATTTTTTTAGAATTTTCAAAAAACAAATGGCATGAATGTTTGCAACTTTTTTTTAAGGAATCTTTTTGATGTTTCTTTAAGCGCACTTTTAAACTAGTCTTAGTGTTCAAATTCCTTTTAATTTTTTTTAAGTTTGATTTAACTTTCGCTTTAGCCAATTGAAGTTTCTTTTTTAAAGAGAGTAACTCAGTTTTAAGACATGATATTTGTTGTTCTTTATCAATGCAATTTTGACACACAATCTCGTTTTGAGGGCAGTTTTGGGGCACGTTATTTACATTAACATTGTTTACTGTTGCTTCTAAGTTCAGTTCTATTCTACGTTTTTTAGGGCTTAGTGCTTTTAAATGTTCAACAGCCTGATTCCTAATTTCTCTTTTAACATGTCTCTCATTTCTTACATCTGGTTTAGGTTCGTTATTACTAACCTCGGCAGGTAATAGTTTCAGTGATGGCACTGCATCTTCCTTTAAAATCTTCTTCTGTGGCAAACCAAGAAGTCTATTTTTCATGTCATCTGCATAGTCACACTCGGTAAAATGGTCACTACAAATTCTGGCGTAGTCCGAATTAAATGCGTCAGCTCGCTTACACTTAGCTACCCATATTGCACGAACAGATTTATCCCTCGGAAATTTATGATAAACAACACCTGTAGTTTTTTTGGAATGATTCTTACACACGGCAACAGAGCAAACACTCATAACTTATATTACTAAAAACTAACTTCAGAATGTAATACTGCACACATAGACAGAGCCAAACAGAAGACGCGAATAACAATGAAAGAGCGAAGTTGGTTTCCCGCGTATTTGATGCAGTGTTGCCATAACAACAACCTAAAAATTGCGAGGCGAGCGGGAAAATTACCCGCCAGCGCTCAGTTGTGACAATCGTCTTTTGAGACGATTTATTAATGAACTGTTATTTAGGGGTATTTAAGAATTGTTAAGTAATTACTGTGGAAGAACTGATTGACTATAGTTTTCTCGCTGAAAGTGTGTGCCTAACTCAAAAATAAAAATATTCCTCACTCAGTGACTTTTTCAAGTTTCATTATTGTAGTTCCTCTACGTTTGTTGTTATAAAACCAATTTACTCGCAGTAAACTAAAAACTGTTTGGATATTTGGATTCTACAGTTAATGCAGAATAAAACGATATAAGTTTCATTTGAGAAATATGTTCGTACAACGGTAGGGGAGCGTGTAAAAGAGTGAGAATTTCGCTGGCCGCGTAATGGAAACAGGCCTGACTGTCAGGTGACGTCACAGGAGGTGGGGGAGCGGGGCCGTGTCGGCAAGTGCTACATCAAAGACGTGAGCTAGCCCCTGTATTCTGTAGCCCCGCTACTGTCATCTGGTCAATTATCTGATAAACCTATTTCATCTTAGCAACCGTCATTTAGAATTTCTGTTAGTAAGATGTCTTCAGTCATGTCTTTTGGATATCTGAGAATAATAAATAAATATTTAAAATATAGTAAGTAAAATTTATATGACTGAGTTACCTAAAAAAAATAACGAAAGTTATCACAAAATATGCTTGAAATTATATTTTAGCTTAGTAAGGCAACAACAAAATATGTCTAGTGTTAGTAGCATAGTGGTATTGTAGGTATACCACCTATATTTGGCAAAATAAACTTTCAGTTTGAACAAAAACAGTGTTTTTGACGCAATATAACAATTACATAGTGTCTAATTCAACATAAAAACATATATCTTACTTTGTTATATGTAATAGAAGGGTATACAAGACAGTCAAAACCTCTGCATAACAGCCTGTAGCCTGTAGCATGCAACGACGCTTTGAAACTTCAACTTTAATACTAAATTAATCTAGAAGCTACTAGTTCCTCCAAAATACGCTAGGTTACAGCACTGACTAGGCCCCCTGGTATGGTATTTCCACAATACCAGTATGCATCAATGCAGTAAAAATTATTTTACAAGTGGTATCCTGATAATACCACTGTGAATCAAAGGGTTAAAGTTAAAAGTACCATATACTGAAATTCAGTATGTGGTCCTTCAGTATCAAAATTGTTCAATCTGTTTTTGTGAAAATCCGCTTTTTCTGTTATCTTATGGGTAATGGAAAAATCACCGTTAAAAATCAAAATTTCAAAAAAATGTTGACATTGTTGGAGATACAATGGATTAGTTTAAAATTAAAGGCAAGTTTTCCTAACTGCCGAAATTTGCTGTCGAAACAGCTGTGTTTTTACCAAAAAACCTAAACAAAGGTCAGGTACCGGCGTTTTCCTAGAAACCCGAATTTGGTAAAGAAAACTTAGAACTCGCACGACATCCACAATCCCGCAGCAATTTCTGGCGGCCAAAATCGGCAGTTAGGATAACCCTGTAAGAGATGTGTGACTGATTGAATGATGCAGGAGCGGATGCAGCCCGAGGACAACAGACGACAGCAGGAGAAGCTGCGTGAGGTCGCGCAGGTCGCTGAACGACTCGGGTGTTCTGTTATCCAGCTCAGTATCGCCTGGTGCCTCAAGAACGATAGTGTTCAGTGCCTATTGCTGGGTGCTACCAGCGTAGAACAGCTCTACCAGGCTATTCACAGCTTACAGGTACCCAGCTAGTTTACTTGCATACACACCTTTCTTGCATTCCCAATGAGATCCGAAACGGCGATAAAAGACACAATAGTAAGCTAATCCAGTTGACTTAGTTTGTAAGAAATTGTTGTTTCAGTTTGGCTTGGTTAAAGAGTTGTTTGACAGAAATCAGTTACTGGTTCATCATCACATTCTGCCAGGTCGATTCAGCTACATACATGTTCATCTCAAAACTAGCTACAATGTTATGAGAATGGAATGCCTAGACCATAGTGAAATTGATCACTAAACAAAAAGCTACTGAAAGCATGGACATGTACTGGAACATATAGGAGTGAAGAACTTTACTAAAAACCCTATTGGCAAAGGAAGGATCCATTTATATTCCATCTCCAGAAAATCTGTTCATTCTAGTAGCTGTACAATTTTCACATTCCTTGTCAACATTTCCAGAACATCCAAACAACCTGATTTCCACCAACTGTTCGCCCAGCTGATCTCAACTTATTTTCCAGATGGTGCCGAAGCTGAACACAAACACCATGAACGAGCTGGAGCGTATCCTAGACAACAAGCCATCTCGTCCACCGATGGTGTCGACTCTGGCGCTTAGATGACAAACAATGTGCCCGCCGGGCGGATCTCTGGCGGGCGACTCCTCTCCCAAGGAAGAGGACCTTCACGAGGAGTCTAAGGAACAGAAGCTTCCGTTCTGCAGCATCCAGTGACAGTATGAACAGTTGGACCACGTGTAGTCTGCTGATACGTCATAGTCTCTCACGCTGTCCACGTCGTTCTTTAGTGAGTTGAAAAAGTCTAGGAATGATTAAGTTTTGAAATATGAAGGTCACCTGTTTGATTCTTAACAGTTTGAGTCTGGGTTAGTCCATTTGCCATTGCTCATTGGTCTATCGATTAATGATATTGGCTAACAACAGGTTAATGCTAGGTAAACATAAAAAATCAAAGGTTTTTTAATTATGGGGACGCTATCAGACCCGTATGTAGATTTGGCAGGCCCTGGTAAAGATATTAAAGGCTGGGCCTCCTCCACTCCACCACACCACTGTGCTATGTTTGGCAAGGCCCGGAAAATTTTTTTCGGATAAACCGGTCTGAGTATGGCCCTGGACGCCACCTATGTGCGCTACCCAAATATGAATGAAGGATGAAATGCCTTGTAGCTTTGTTACTGACTATGACCAGCTGTTTCATTAGTCAGAACTATTTAAAGCCTAATGCTCAAGGACAGCTGGGTCCAGTTTTGAGCCATCAATAAGCTACTCGCTTTTCTCAGGATTGAACCGGCAACCTTAGATTACTAGGAGAGCACTCAATAACTAACCTTAGTAGTTGCATAATCACTGATTAGTTGGTGTTGAAACACGAAAAAGATTTAATTTCCGTTCATACGAGGGTGGTTTTTAAGTAAGGGCCAGTTTTGTGTGAATCTGTAGTTCGCTTCTACGCCGCAATGAGGCTCATCCACATTTACTGGCATCATTTGTGGACAGAATTACACAAACTTCAGCTCTGTAGCTGTCATATACGCTTGGTTGTGTGTTTAAAAATTTTTTTTTAAATAATCAAACCTTTTGTGGAGTCCGAGGTAAGGTCAGTGACCCTGATGCAAACATAAGCGTGGAATGTGCAGAAATAGGCTAAGGAGTTTTAAAATTGCTGTGAAAATGCTTATTTTGGAAGAAATTCTGTTTTTGCTGGGTACCCCAGACTTCTCAAAGAAGACCACTTGGAAAAAAGGAATTTACGGCCATGTTTACACTCCATAGCCCATTTCCACACTCATTGTAGGGACATCAACTCCAGTCATTTGTGAAATTTTAAACACACCCAGCAAAGCGTATATGACAGCTACAGAGCTGGAATTTGTGCCATTCTGTTCACAAATGATGCCAGTAAATTGTGATAAGCGTTGCGACGTACAAGCGACTTACGGATTTATACGTGAAATCGACCCTTATTTAAAATACCCTCGTATATTTTATTGCAATAATATACTTCAATTAACTTTGTTACTCTTATTTACCATGGTCTTTAAACAGGTGTTTATTTTTTAGGTGGACACCTCAGGACCTTCTGAAAACAGGTTTCTGAGCTCTTCTACGTTTTCAACGGCTCCCATTTTCCCACCGCAGGAGTTGAGCAAGCTTTACTTATATGAGTGCGGTTGGCGTAGCTAGCTTCGTCACAGCCTAACTCTTTCTCTGGTGTACGCTGCACAGTGACAAACGGAAACAGGAGATGGCAAGAGAAAAACATAAACTTCTGCGTAATATGTATTGCTGTGTGTCTGTAGACCAGTAAGGTTTAATGACTTTAAAAATGGTGTTATTAGTCAACAATTTGAAAAATTCTATGACGTCTAAGTTTGTAAAACTGAAATAGGAGACGGCTGGGGGAAAAACATAACTCTTTGTCTACTTAAATTTATTTATTACTGTAATCTGTGCATAGAGATCAACTAGGTTGAATGACTTTGAAACTGACTTATGAGTAAAACAATCGAGAATATATTAAACCTTTACCCACACCATCACATTGTTGACATAAACAGCTGTAGTTATTTAACATCAGCTGTTTTGACTGCTCATGTGGTCTGTAGCTCAAGGAATGTTCTGGAATTTATTTATAATTGTTGAATTCATTATAATTACCATTAGATTGAGACAGGGACACAATACTATTTACCTTTTCTACTTGAAAAAAGTGAAGGAAGAATGTAGAATGAAGTTAGATGCCTCTATGGTTTTGTTACTGACTAAATATCAGCTGTTTCTTTCATTAGGAGCATTATCCAAACAACAGCTGAATACAGTTTCTAACCTCAAAAAGCTACTGAATTTTCTCAGGATTGAAACGGTCAACCTACTAATTACTGGGCAAGCACTGTATTCAGTCAGCATTCACATGTGACAGTAATGTCCTTTATGTGATAAGGTTAGCTTTATCACATTTTGAACTTTTTGAATTAAAAATAGCTGTTTGTTCTCTGGGGAAAAATTTTCTGTATGTTGGAACCAAAAGAAATGTGATATGTTAACTCATTTGGGCTGTCAATTCGTACCTTTGATGCCTTGCGCTGTCGGAGCACTACTCGTTGAGAGTATGTACACTATTACCGGGGCATTAGAATACAACGATAAACGTATTCTTTCAATGTTAAAAGATCACTGCCATTTTTTTAAAGTCCTTCTCAAAAACACTTACCGGCCACCAACACCAACACATTTCTGATCTATTAGTATTTATTTAATAACAATAGCGCAGGTATTATCGTAATTTAGTTTAAAAAATGATTATAAAGACTTTTATGGTGTAGTAAAATATGTCTGTTGAAAAATATTACCATTACTTGTTCATAACCAGTTTCAAAGTCAATGAGCCTGTTATGAGACGTTAAGCATGATTTCTTGGTGATTATAAATAAGTGAACAAATTTTGGAAAAATCAATATTTCCTGTATTTATTTAATTTGATATGTGTAAGGTTTTAGCAATGAATGATTTATAAGTGAATTCATTAATGCATTACCGAAGGGATATTTGTTCTAAATTGTTGTAGCATCTATCAATACTACTAAATATTGAAACGCTATATCAAGCTGTTTACCTTTAAAATATAGATGTACAAGTATCGACGTAAAATGTGTTTGACCATGTTATGCGTAAAAAATCTATAATCTCTTTGTGTTTAAACTTACACATACAGAAGACCTTCTCTTAACAGACCCACGATCAACTAACGCCCCGAGGGTAATAGACGCCCGGGGTGAGATTTAAATGCTCACCCCCTCCCCAAAAAATGTATTTGGGGGGGGGGGGTTGCAACCCTAGAATTTGAAAATGGTTGGTTTACCGATCTTACCTTTAGGAATCTTGAGCCTTCTACTGCCATACTTAAAAAGTGTTTACTTGAGACCCCAGCAGAGCAAGCAGGTTACATGCCTCGAGTGTATTTTAAGTTACCTGAGGTAGGTAACCTGCCCGCCAACTGGCTCCAAGTAACCGTGGCTTTATTGCATCAAATTAAATCATGTAGGTACCCAAAAAAATAGTATTTTTTTACCACACAAGGCAAAATGAAAATCAGAAAACTGACTTAAGTAAATGTTTGAGTGTGGTCGTACATTTTGCGTAAATCTTACATTCCTGTGTGTTTGTATTAAATTTAGTACCTTTTAAAAATTTGCTTCGCTGAAATTCAATTTTTATGAGTTTTTGAACACATTATATATTCTTATTTTCAAAAGTAATATGCAGAAATGTAGAAGGGTTGTTTTTCTATGGCACTGATAATTTATATTGGTTTCTAAATAGTACGTCACTTTCATGGTGTGTTTAGTTCTGGGTTTTTATCTACATTAGTTCGATGATTCGATGATTCGATGATTGCCTGGATGAGAGAAGGTGTTCTGTAGAGATTTGATTCAATATTTGATCAATGGTAGAACAAACCAAAGTAGAGGTTAAACGGAAATCTTAATCACAATTGCCTATTTACCAACCTGACAACAATAAAACGTCAACGCCTACACCAGGGGACGCTCATTGCACTAAGTAGTGCCAACCGCGCAACATCCGCTCACATCCGAGGTTGTTATAAGGTAGTATAGTTTTAAGAATGTGACAATATACCACATGTATATCTTTTCACGAAAGCTGTATGTCACGTACGTTATACATGAATATATCTTTTAAATCTTCTTACTATATAATTGTAAATATACGCTAATAGTTAGGTACAAATTAACAAATTCATAAGGCTTTTTATATCGACGAACCTCTTTTTACCTAGATTGAATAATTTTTGCACTGCCTAGACTTTTATGTTGGTGTTTCAGTGTGTATATAATCGAGAAGTTTTCGCTAACTTTGTTATCGTGTTAAGTGTTTCTTCAGGATTTCAAACTGTGGGATTAAAATCTTAAAATATTGTAAATTTAACCTTTCTTTGTTTGTGAAACAAAATAAATTAAAACCATGATAAATTCCACGTTGCAATTAATCTGTATTCAGTAAAAGTGAATCAGATTTCATTTTCCTATTTTGTTTTACTTTGCCAATTTAAAATACTAGTACTTGTCAAGTCCAAAAGAAAAAGATTCTAAACTATCGCAGGCTTTCTGTCTCGATTTTATATCATTAACTTGTTGACTTGATCTAATTTTCTGTTGGATCTTTGAATACATCTTTGGATCATGTGTTTGAATTTGAAACTAAAATTTGAGTACTATTATATCTACTATATCAAATTTCAACTCAACTAATTGTTCATCGTACCTCATTAACATATCACTGGCCAGTTTTCTCAAATTATTAACCTGTTAAATTTTAACCCGAAGTTATTGCTTGTTCAGTTACTTATGGGAAGATATTTTATCAATAGTTTATTATTCGTATAGTTTATAAGTAAGTTATATCTAAAAAAGTGCTTGAAAACTAATAGTGATAAAAGTAGTGTGCATAGGAGCGATAATTTAATACATTTAAGTATACATAAGACCATTTCATAGATAGGCCTATGCTATACACGGTTTGAAAATATTGTAAATACGACTTTGTTTTACCTTGTTTCCGTTAAGATGTTTTCATTACCGTAATTTATTTTTGAATTTGTGTGTGGATATAATTGTTAACGATTTACCATATCTTAGTGTGTAACTTTAATTATTTTATTCTAGCGTTTTGATGTTTCGAATCGGAAGAGGCGCTGTTAAGCTGTTTGGAATGTAATGAATATTTTCTTGACTTATATTTTTAACTATATCAAGTTAACCTGTAGAATTTATAGTCTTTCACTGATTCGTAATTCAACTAGAAATGTGGCTCTGTGGAGTTATTAATGGTTAAAAACATTAAATACTTAAAAGTCTAATTTAAAACTGTTTAAAAATTATTATGAGTTTATAGAATAATGGAGGATAGGTTTATATCTACAGAAAATTCCCTTTAGTCATAAACACATTTTTTTTTACAATCAATTTTATAATGTTTAGCTTCAAAGTCTGTTTGGCTGTGCTGCTTGATTTTTATAATTATCTTTTCATGTTTTGAAATTTTCCTTACATCACAAATTTTAAAAAAAAATGCCCATTAGTGCTTTTAAATTATCAAAACTATTTTTTTGTAATTTTTTTCTCAAAGTTTGTGTTAAAAATATAAGTTTAGAAAGATAGAAGAGATCATTGAATATGTTATGTTAAGCGAATTTCAAAAACACTATTCGTCAAATTTTTATGTACTGTATTTAGATATGTTCTAAAATACGATAGCTCGAGTGCTTGAGGTCAATAAATTTGGCATAAATGTTTTGGGCTGGACAAACTTGAATGAGTTTGCGAACCAGCAAGATCAGGTACAAAGTATTATACGTAAAATGTTTCAAGTTTTTCAAAAATTGGTTATTTACAAATATCCATCATGAAAATTCCCAATTGTTATTATAACCATGTTGAGCTAAAAAAGGAATAATTTTGTACATTAAAGTGGTGTGCAATTAAAGGTTTTAGAGAGAATTTAATATCTTGAAAATAACCAAATAACAAAACAGAGTCCACAGTTAGAGCATATCCTTGTAGTAAACCTATCTTTCACTTATGGTTGTTCCATTTCCTACTAATGGCAATATCTAGGATAAGTGTTGGTGATAATTCTTTGCTGTATGTGACCTTCTAACAATACTAGTTTATCAGTAAAATCGTCTTTGCTTTTGAATAATGCAAATCTAAAAACTATTATTACGTTTAATTTCGAAAGATGTGTTGTTACAGTATTTTTGATTCCCTACTGCCATATTTGTAATGAGGTGGATATTTGGAGCAAAAGTGTATGAAAATCAACTGAATGACAAAAAAAATATGTTTGGAATGTAAAAGGACTACATTTCAATTATTGTTCTGTGTTTGACGTGATTCGGTGATTTCTTTATGTGTTTTTAAGAATAATTTATATAATCGTGGAACCCTTTAGGATTTTAAGAAATGGAAAATTTCAGCAAACACTATGAATTGACCAAACTCAAGTAATTTTTTTTTTATTTTTGAAGACCATGATAAAATGATTCTAGGAAATGTATTTTAAACACTTTTTACCTTATTAAGAATATGAAATAATTGAATTTGACACATCCTTTTATTGACGATAATATTTCCAAAAAATAACTTAGCCTTTTTAAAAAAGTAATTTTTTATAGTAGCCTAGTTTTGTCAAAACAATGAACCTTAATTTCTAGTGTGTTCTTTAATTTATGACCAAAACATTAGAGATAAATTTTAGATTCCAATTTACAAAATTAATAATATAAAATTAATAGTTAAATTAATAACTAATTTAAAAATTATAAAAAATTCTATGAGGGAAATCATCTCGCTAAATTTATTCGTCTGTAAATTTGAAACTACGTAATTGACAAATATTGAGTGAGAAATGGGAAAGAATTCGATTGGTTTACTTTCCGGCTTTTGCAATTTAAAATTATAATCATTTCCAAAGTTATGTGTGTAGTGACTACAATCTTGAATTTATTTATTTTGTAATATTTCATATTCTTGTCATCATTAATCATCAGTATCCCTCATTACCACATTTTTATCTCAAATATAAATACATAAATATTAAGCTACTCTATTCTTAAGAATTTTGCAACATTTAAATTTCACTAGATGCTGTTTTGATTATTCCAAAAGTAATGTTTTATAGGGTTTGAACTAGCATTATTAGCATTTTGTACAAATCATATAGATAAATAATGATGGCTGCTAAACTTAAGCTAGTAGTTTTAATAGTATGGTATTAGTTTTAAAATATCAAAGATGAATTTCATTTAATTGTATTTAATGATTACATTTTAATGCACAACAAACCTTTTATAGGTAAAAGGTTAACCTGTTTTTATAAGAATTTTGCATCTAGAAAACCATTTGAAGTCAGAAAAGGTGCTTTATAACATACGGAAAATATCGATTAAATTTAGTTCAGTAATTTAGTCAGTATTTTAAAAATGTTCACACCAAATATTTTATGGAGTTTTAAATATTATTTGAACGGTGTGTGTATCCGAATTTCGGAATGTTATTTTGTGAGCAAAAGTTATAATAATAACAATTATTAAATTTTTTTCATTAAATATGAATATGGTTTGATTTTACCTGATTACCGCATTATTAATGAGTGTTTAAAAATTATTACAATAATTTTTTTTTATATGAATTAAGAACAACAAAAAATAAAACAGGCAATGAATATAAAAGGTAGGTCAAAGAGGGTAATGTTATGAACGCAATCCCTAACTTTGTAGCTTTGTTTGGTATTGTATTGTACTGATTTTGCCAATTTCCTAGAGTTCGCATGAGTCACTTCATTCTTAAAAACATATTTACTTTTGTCTACAGCTCAATCTGTTGTAACTTGCCTTACCGCTGTTTCGGCATTGCAATCAGAGGTCAGGTCATCAGGTCTACAGAGGTGGAAAATTCTGCTGAAGTAGCGTCCTCATAGTCGAAACAGAAACACACAACACGAACTACATTTAAAGAATATACAAAATTTAAATTAGACAGGCTTGTTGCACGCACCGCACCGGTTGACATTTCCACGATCTGAACTGGATGCCACCTGGAGCTTAACCCCTTCATCGATCATAAAGTGGCGGTGTTATCAATTGACACCAGCCTTTGGTCTCTTGTCCTAGTTTAAAATACTATTGAATATGAAGTGTGATTCATATTGTAGTTTGCCATTTAAAATTGTGTCTTCAAAATTATTTTCTGTATTAGCTCTGGAAATTTCATATTCTTCGAGTGAGTTGAATATATTGCCATTCTTGCTTGTGTAGAGTATCTCTAAGCCAATGTTCAGATCATACATGTCATATTTCATCAACCAGGTGTTGTGCAAAAGATAATTTTTGTTTGTTGTCTCTTGGACAAGAATGACTCTTTGTACTTAGTTCCGAATGACCATCCAGTTTTTCCTATATAAAAGCTCGGCTAACTATAGCACATTTCATTTTGCACACTTGACTTTTCACTTTTGTCGGTTACATTATCAGAAACATTAAATTTGTCAATGGTCTTGTTGTTGTCTTGAATGCTAATTCAATAGGTACCTATTATTATTACTCTGTGGTGTAAGGTATTCCGTATACCGTAGCTTCCGTGTTAAATGTTGTTCAAGTTTAAAATGGCACTTCAAGAGTTTAATGCTGAATTTGTAACTTAATTAAATTTCTGAATTAGATTATTAGAATTAAAACTGAATCACCCCTTAAACTCAGAGGTTGCTTAAAAGTTTTTTTGCAAATAACTTTTAAACGATATAGACCAAAGTGGAAGGGTATATTCTGAAAGAGAATAAGTTTTGTTACAAATTACTATACTGCATTTCTTTAAAATAAAATATATAGGCAGCCAAAAATTGCCTGCAAATAAGAAATGTGAAAAAAACTGTTTTCATGCATTTCTGATAGAAAACAGTTTTAGGGAGTGAGTTTCCCAACAACCCATTGATCAATAAAATCGCGAAGTGGGTGGTACAACCATAGATTAAACATACTCCCTTAGATTAAACATACTGTATGTTTAATCTATGGTACAACCTAAGCTAGTTTTCTAGTGATTCGCGTGACACATGTATCGTTCGACGTTCATTGAATACATGAGACATTCCTGATGAGTTTTAGGGGGGATGGTTGAACGGAAAACCCACAATCCAGACTCACCTCAGTCCCGGGGAGTCCGGATAAGAGGGAATGTACATATGGAATATACATTATTCCCTAGTCAAGGCATTGGCTGAAATAAGCACCAAGTGTTTAAATAGCACAGGTTATGCATTTTACTGTATTAAACATGCTGATCTTGTGCTGAACAGATTCCTAATATTTTAAGACTAGATCAGTCTAATGGGAAAAATGTTACGTTTTGACCATATTTTCATATTTATATGAGTGTCTATAAGGCACTGAACGCGTTTTACAAATCTCGACCATTAAATTTTTACCCTAATACCATAGAAAAATTGAATTAAATATAGACCGACAGCAGTGCTGCGGTTAGCATAAGTTCTGGTGTCCACTGCTTGGGATGCCGTGTAGTAACCAAGCAGCACTCCAAGCGGTGGTCGCCAGAACTTATGCTAACCGCAGGTCTGCTGTTAGTCTATATTTAATTATATTTGGCTATGCTAAAAATATTCCTGCTAGATGTTTACATTTTTCATCCTAATTAGCCAGTAATACAGTCACCCCTTCAATAATTTTATTGGAATATCTTAGGTTTCTTGTGTGGATCGCCCTTTGTTTGCCATAGCGCTCGCCGCTCTCCTTCAAATCAGTTTAAGGAAACAATGGACAGGATAAGCTCATCCTATCACAAATAAAATCAAATCAAATCATTTATTTAGCCAGAATTAACAATATACAAGTTGTATTGGCTAAGTCAAAATGAAATAAAGTTGGATACATGTACTTAAGAACTATTTACAAATATAAAATCTTATACAATATACAATGGTGCAGATTTATATATAAATATTTGCATCACTACTCATGGAACTTAATTTAGATGAAAATTCTTGGACGCTTTAACAGGTAAACTTAATCAACAAAGATTTTAATTGTCTTTTAAATTTTAACAGGTTTGGTTCAAGTTTAAGAAAAAGTGGAAGTGAATTAAAAAGTGTTATGCCATTGTACAGTAAGTGTTTCTTGAAGAAAGTTGTTGAATGTTTAGGAATAGGTAATGTGTGTGAATTGCGCAATGTGCTTTGGTTTTTTACAGAAAGGTCAAATTTAGAAAATTCCTGTTTCACAAATGTTAAAGATTCAAGAATGTAAATGGGTGGGAATGTCAAAATCTTTGAACTGGAAAAATATTGTCGGCAGGGTTTGCGCTTTTTTAGAGAGAAAATAGTTCTCACAGCCATTTTTTGGAGTTTAAA